GCGAGGCGTCGGCTTGTTAGGATTTGGGGTTGAACGGTTTTGGGTTTGGTTCTTAAAGGATCTCCTTAGGGGGTATACACCATTGTCTCCTGGTCCCGATTCAGAGGGTTTGGGCATGAGGCGAAGGGTTTAGGGTCTAGAGTCAGAGTGGAAGCCAGAAAGTTGGAACGTCATGCCTCATGCCCTTAGAATGACAGATGTGGACTCCTGAAACTAAAAGTCCTCAACCCACCTTGACCTTCTGCACTTCACTATAGGTTTGAGGTTTTCAGGTTGAGGGGTACCTGGAGGATCGAGGGACTTCGTAAGTAGTTATTATATAGACTTATGAGTACCTTAATAGGGACCCTAATTGGGGTTATGGTACTTATCACTCTATAAAATAACTACTTACTAAGTCCCCGACTCTCCAAGTAGGGATTTGATGTGGTTGGGCCTTAGGGAAGCCCTAAATTTATAGCCCCAAACCCCTACTTGTCGGGTATCATGGGGAACTAAAAGGTTAACCTTTTTGGTTATATATAGGGACTATACTACCCAGAAAAGGTTAAAGGTTGCCTACTCTACGATCTAGGAACCCAGACTGTAATAAAAACTCCTTCACAGACCTTGCAGAAGAGCCCTTATAGAGCCGTATACAGGAAGCAGGTTCAGACGGATAAAGGTGCAAGCAGACTTGGCGGCTCCAGGCACGTTTTCATCCCTTCCATGCTGCAACACGCAGTCTGGTATCAAGAAAGACGACACATGTGCAGGCTTCTGCATGAACTTTCCTTGAACTTGAAAATCAGCATAGGCTGCGCAAAGGCCGACAGGAAGTTGAAACAGATGCCAACCAAACACAGATTGCCTGAATGGTACAGTCCTAAACCCGGTTCTTAGTAGGGAATGTGGCAATGGATGATGGGGACTATTATTGGGGATTGTCTAGGGACTACTATAGGGATCCATTCCCCCATTCCCTACTAAGAACCAGACAGCCTACTAAGAACCCTAAACCCCTATAGTATAACCCTTGCAGTGACAGTAACCCTTACAGGAACCCTTAAAGGAACCCTACTCCCTACTAACTTACTACCCCAATAAGCCACAGGAATAGAAGGTTAAACTTTTCGATTCCTACTAAACTGTAAGAACCATGTGTCTAAGCTAAGCACCAGACAGTTCTATGGTATAACCCCTATAGTAGAACCCTTACAGGAACAGTAACCCTTCTATAAGGGAACCCTTCAAGGAACCCTATTCCCTACTACTGTAAGCGACAGTTCTATGGTATCACCTCTCTCGAGTCTCTCGAGATCCCAGGAGGCAAATCAGTCACTGGGCGAATACAAGAAATCCGATCGAGGCTTTTGGGCTTAGGGTTGAAGGTTTAGGGTTTAGGGTTTAGGGGTTTAGGGTTTTTAGGGTGACAGAAAATTTTGTTCCTGCCACTATGCTATGCGCGTGTTTGCCTTTGGCATCCAGTTTGGGCATTGGGTTTGGTGGTTTGATTGGGTTTCTGGGCTTTGAAGTAACCAGGGAGAGAAAAGTATAGACTTTTATTTTAGAATGGTTCCTTTAAGGAACAGTACCCAAAAAAACCCTAAACCCCTAAACCCTAAACCCTTAAAAGGACCCTAAAACCCTAAACCCTAAACCCTAAACCTTATACTCCAAACCCAGGGTTTGGGGCTCCGGTCTTGGGATGGGGGGGGCTTTGGGCTTCAGGGGTTTAGGGTTCCGGGCTTCTACTATTTGCTTAAGAACCCCCAAAAAATAAAAATATATTCCTTATAGGGATAATATAGGGATTATCATTTTTTATTTTTTGGGGGGTTCTTAAGCAAATAGTAGGCTTTTTTAGGGGTGTGGACTTCAGGCGTTGAAGCGGCGGCAGTCCCATGAATCTTTGAATCCTATGAAACCCTAAACCCTTAAACCCTAAGCCCTTAACCCTTAAACCCTTAAACCCTAAACCCTTAAACCCTAAACCCCGAACCCTAAACCCCCAACCCCACACCCTAAATGAATCCTAAGACATCAGGGCTTCGGGGGCGTTTTCATATGTTCGGGGCGTCGATACTTAGAACAGGCCCCCCTGCACTAAAGCCCCATAATAGCCCTTATAGTAGCCCTGATAGACCCGAACCCTCTACCCTAAACCTGAACCTTCCGCGTATACTCCTAGCAACATGAGAAGGGTCCCCAAAGTGGTATTATTTAGAGTTGAAGGGCTTCGGGAGCCATATATGGGTGTTTTTGGAGCTCCAGTCCAAAATGGACAGGGCCATGCGCATCCACTGCACTTGAGAAAACTCATCTTGGACGAGTTTTGGAACAGGCATGGGAGGCAACTCCCCTCATGAGTCTTGAGCTGTGGAGGGTCTGTCGGTATGGAGGATATTGAGAGCGTAATTACTTGGAGGTTCATGGGTAGTTACAAGTGGGGTTATAAGTCCCCTATTATGTGTTATAAGTATAGCTATCCTATTTATAACCCTACGTATAACTACCCATGTACCTCCAAGTAGATCCTAAACCCTATACCCTTATAGATTCCCTATAGATCCCTTTAAAGGGACCCTTAAAGGAACCCTTATAACTCTACTTAGAACTACCCCATGTACCTCCAAGTAGAGCTTGTCTGAAGGCTTCGGGTTGCAGAACTCCCACATGTGCCCCATGGGCACTAAAACTTCATCAGGACAGCAAACTTTCCTTAGAAGCTGCCCCCACCCTGTAATGGTGACCATAAGGATTATATAGGATTATATTAGGGCCCTATTATTCTCCTATTATACCACTATTACAGGGTGGGGGCAGCTCCTAAAACTTTCCTGACAACCTTGACAACATGCCCAGAGAGCCTACGACCCTCCCAGCCCCAAACTCTAAAGCCTAAACCCTAAGCCCTGATCAAGAAATGCACATCTTCTAGGGAGCTGAATGAATTACAACAGGGCTTTGGTGTTATATTCTGTTGTAACCAGAATGAGGCAATACCCTAAACCCGAAACCTTAAACCATGCCATACCTCAAATCAAACCCTAAACCCTCAACCCTTAAACCCTCAAGCCTTAAACCCTAAACCCTAAACCCTTAAACCCTAAACCCTTAAACCCTAAACCCCTAAACCCTAAACCCTTAAGCCCACACCCCTAAGCCCTTAAACTCTAAACCCTAAACCCTTAAACCCTAAACCCTAAACCCCTAAACCCTAAACCCTTGAACCCTTAAACCCTTAAACCCTCAACCCTTGAACCCTTAACCCTCAAACCCTAAACCCTGCACCCCGGGATCTCTCGGAGCCTAAGGTGCGTTGTATTACCAAGCGATTGCCGAAATCCTCGCACCTGTGCAAAAAAGCAATACACGTTTTTACTATTGAGGGTCTCTTTTCCTGGTTAAGAGTTAATAGGACTCCACAAAAGCACAAAAGCAAAACTTAGCACAGGGATGTCTTTGTAAGATACGTATGCTTATGCACTTAGGATTGCCCCCCCCCACTTAGGGATTCGAACCCTACACCCTAAACCCTAGAACCTAACACCTAAACCCCAAACCCTAAAGCCTAAAACCTTAAACCCTAAACCCCAAAACCTTAAACCCTAAACCCTAAAACCTATACCCTAAAACTGTAAACCCTAAACCCTTCCGTTTAGACCTTGAGCCCCTCGGGCTCTCTCGGGCAGAGCTTGCAGAAGGGCGGCAACACCAAGAGTTTCGTCCGGCATCAAAATCCTGCACCCTAGTTTAATTTTTGTATTCTAGGGTTTAGGGTTTAGGGTTTCAGGGCGTAGGGATCCTGCACCCTAGTCAAAGGTGTAAAAGGAGGGACCCCTAATGGGGACCCCTACCCTATAATGGGCTATATAATGGGGGAAAATGGCTATATTACCGAGAACGACCCTACTTAAAGGATCGACTTAGTAAGTATGGTTATAAGTACCTTAATTGGGGGTATAAGCCATTATAAGTGTAGTTATTCTAGTAATAACCCCAGTTACTAAGTCCCATGATCCTCCAAGTAGTGTATTTTCTGTATTCATATATCGTGGTTTGGGGTTTAGGGCTTAGGGATATAAGGGTTTAGGGTATAGGGTTTGGCGTCCGGCATCAAAATCCTGCACCCTCATGCATTTAGGGTATTAGTACAGGAGCCTTAATAATTTAGCTCTGTGATTAAGCTCTTTTCCACCTGCAAGTTCAGGGTATAGGGTTTAGGGCCTAGGGTTTAGTGTCGATCCCTGTTTTCCCTTTTCTGTTTGACCTGCAAGGCGACCGACCGCAGGCACACGAGTCAAGCCCGTATGGGAAAAGGCGTGGAGGCCCGAAGCTCTGTGGGTTTCGGGGTCTGGTTTCGGTCGGTGGGTTGGTTGTGTCTCTTAGTGTTTAACATTGGTAGCGGAGCCCGGGCCGTGGTCCCGGGTGTTAGTGGTCTTCAGGGTTTTGGTCTTCACAGGGTGGTCTTTTCGTGAGCTTCGGGTTTTTCCTTCCTCGTTGTGCAATGGCGACAACGGCAGAAGCGCCGCCGCAGCCTCCAGCGGCAGATGTTCAGCCTGCTGGTGAGCAGACGGCTGCCGACGATCCTTGGGGCGAACAGACCCAAGACCCATGGGCGAGGTCTTGGTCACCGGCTCCAGGGGACGAGGCGACTACAGACGACCAGGGTCGCGATCAATGGTGGCACAACCGCGGCGATGAGTGGCGTCAGTCTAGATGGGAGACTGACAATGCGTGGTCCGATGCCCGCTGGAGTGACGGCTGGCACCACTCTGGTGGCCAAGACTGGTCACACTCGGGGGGCCAAGACTGGTCCCAGTACTACGACTGCCGGCGACAACGGAGCGTCTACAGATCAATCCTGGTGCAGGCGTGCTTCGGACTCTTGGGATTCCAGATGGGGAGCCAGCGGAGGTGATGGGCGAGGCCGTGATCACCAACAGTGGCGCCCGTCTGGAGAGACGGGTCGTGATGAAGCCACCCAGGATGTGCGCAAAGGCACTCCGTCGGAACGCATGGCAGTCCCGACTTTCTCTGCAGATGCCTCCGGTGATGATCTAGGCACCAGTGCAAGAAGTTACCTACGTCAGGTCGACGCTTGGATTAAGGTCACCCGCACTGCTCCGGATCAGCGAGCTTTGATCCTCTACCAGAACTTGGCCGGACGAGCATGGGTGGAGGCAGAGGAGCTCGATGTGGAGCGTTTGGCCTCTCCAGATGGGGTGGACTTCTACCGCAAGTGGATCCAGGAGCGCTACCAGGAGGTGGAGGTCAGCAAGATCGCGGAGGCTCTGACGCACTTCTTCAAGCGCATGAAGCGGGGTCCTGGCCAGAGCATTCGGGAATTTAACAGTTCCTTTGACAGGGCCTATACGAGACTCCTTGAGATAGACTGCAAACTTCCTGAAGTGGCCAGGGCTTGGGCGTACTTACATGCTATGGGACTTACGGCTTCGGAGGAGTTAGCTCTTCTTGCTTCAGTTGGAAATGAGTACAGTCCTAGTCGTCTTCAGAAAGCAGCGATCATGCATGAGAAGAGCCTCAAGGGACCGTGGACTTTCCGCAAAGGGCCAGGTGCTCCAGGGGGCTACGATGGACGGCGTGTCACCAAGGCCTACCTCACTGGCCTAGCTGGAGATGAAGATGAAGAAGAAGACGATGACGCAGAGGCCATTCCTGAAGAACTTGCATGTGAACTTCATGAAGCATATGTCGCTCAGGAGGCAGCCAAATCCAGATACAAGGACCTCGTGAAGTCCAGAGGCTTCGATATGGATGCCAACGCTACCTCTGGACGAGGCCAGGATCGCACAGCTGCAGAACGCCTCCAATTGGCAAAGAGTCGATCGTTTTGCGCAGGCTGCAAACGGAGGGGGCACTGGCACCGGGATCCAGAATGTCCTCTTAATGGCGGTGGCGGTCGAAAGGATCCTACATCGACTACGGCGACTTCGGGGAGTTCGGCTAAGAGCGATGGCGATGCGAAGGGCGGGCACACCAAGGACTCCTACGTGACCCACGTTGCCTATGTCGTGGGTGAGGTTCCTACGACCGAGCTGATGGCGATCACCGATTGCGCGTGCAGCAAATCAGTGGCTGGGCAGGCTTGGCTGGAGAGCTACACAAAGGCGGCGAAGAGATGTGGCGTGGAGGTCCCCCTCCACAACTGCGATGAGAACTTCCGCCTCGGTGCGAGCCGTGTCTTCCATGCCAACTACCTCGCCACGGTCACCTTCCAGCTGGGCAAGAGCACTGTGATGATCCGCGTGGCAATCGTCAATGGCGAAGTGCCGTTGTTGCTGAGCCGTTCGGTGTTGGCCGAACTCGGGATGGTCTTTGACATGGCCCACCACACGGCGGACTTTGTCGCCCTCGACGTCTTCAAGTACCGCCTCCTCTACACGGAAACGGGCCATCCAGCTCTCCCGGTGAACCCTCAGAAGGTTCCGAATTTTGTCTTCCCAGACCCCCAAGAGTGGGGAGCTGACGAGATCAAGATTGCCTCTTCGCGCCAGCAGCAATACACGGCTTTTGTCATGAGCGAAGTTTGTGATGGGGGCCCAGATAGTCGTTCTGCTGGAGTTGCTGCTGACAGTGTGTCTTCGAGGTTGTTCTTCAGCAAGAAGGTCAGTGCTGTAGTCCACAACATGCTTACGGCTGACGTCTTGAATCCAGTCCTCTTTAGCCAATGGTGGTCCGAAACAAACCTATCTAACAACTTTTGGATTGAGACCCATGACGTCCTCTACAGAATCCACATCATCCCCAGGAAATCTCTGTTTCGGCCCGACCGTTGGACTACACCTGATGAAAACCTCAAAGCCCTACTACTTAGCGAGATCGGCAGCATCAGGAGCACATGGCCAATTGCGTGTTCAGACCATCGAGCTTCTCAGACTGTACATGACATGTGGCATGCTGATGATTCTTCTCTGTCGATGTTGTGGATCGGGAGATCGGTGTTCACTAGGCTTCGCCCCACAGGTCCTCTCTCGACTTTCCCACATGGCGGCGGTGACCAACGTATGGCGCGCCAACAAGAAGGACCTGATCTCCATGGCCCACGAGGCCGGCCTGACTATCCACGAAGGCTGGACGATCGGCGAGATACGCCACATCGTGATCGAGCACCGCAAGGCGAACAAGAGCGAGGTCCCGAAAGGACTCGGGAAAATGACACTTCAAGAGCTACGCGAGAAGGCGACCGAACTCGGGATCCACTACAAGCCGGACGCGCCGAAGGGCTACCTCCAGCCCATCCGGGACAAGACGAAGGGCGCAGACGAGGAGATCGTCTGCTTCGGGAGGTACAAGAATCACCTCTATCGCGAGGTGCCACAGAACTACTTGGACTGGGCAGTTCGCGAAGCAGCTGCGAACCCGAACGCGTCGGCCGACTTGAAGAAGCTTGCAGCTTGGGCCGAAAGCCGGAAGGAGACGAGTCGGAGCTCGAGCAGTGTAGATCCGGAGACGGTGGCCGTGCTCCCCTACGAGGCCACGGAGACAGATTCCTCGGAGATGTCCAAGTGGTCTATGGTCAACGGGTGGAGGGGAGACCAGCTCCCGATCAAGCCGAAGGGCCGCGCCCCGCCACCTCCGAGTCAATCGTCGGGGCACCGCGGCTACAAGGAGGACCGGGCCACCAACAAGCAGACCAGGCGAGCAGTGGAAGCAAAGGACGTGGAGCAGGCCACCCCGGCCCGCGTGCAACAGGATGTCCCGGAAAAGATCAAGTCGGAGCTGAAAAATTTGACGACGAGACTCGCGGTCCTGCGGGACCAGTACGGCTTGTGAATCAGCCGCTTGCTGAGGACGCCGAGGGTGGCCAGGACGGCGTCCCCTACAGCAACACTGGCAAAAGGGTCCTCTTCAACCTTTCTGAGGGCTCTTATATGAACTCCGGGCCGGGCGACGGTTTGTCGCTTGGGGGAGACGAGCGTTTTGGTTCCCCGACCACCGATGGTGGCGATATGAACTCCGGGCCGGCCGGCATTTTGCCTGCTGGGGGAGACGATTCCGCGCTACCTGAACAGGAGGACTTCTACGACTGCCACGACGGGTTCGACGATTACAAGGACACTGGACTTCGAGAACCTCCACGTGTTTACGAGGGCTACTACAGCAATCGAGAGTTCAATGAGGACATTGAGAGATTGGCAAAACGTCTGCGACAGAACGAACTCTACGACTACCAGAATGCAGGCGAGCTGATCAAGATGTTGTCTGTTGCTGGCGCCGGGACTGAGAAGCGGGAAATCCATGGCAAGCAGGCCACGACGCTCATCCTTGGAGCGTATGCCTATGGTGCTTTCTATGGGCTCACCAGAGCCACCACTCAGTTCATCGAGGCGGCCCGCTACATGAACAATTTCCTCCGAAGACACGGGGCCAGTGGCGACTGGTCCGCCATCTCGGTCGGATGGAACCTGAGATCCTCACTCCACCGGGATCCTAACAACAGGCCCGGAACCAACAGCCAACTTATCGCCTTCGGAGACTTCCGCGGAGGCCGGCTATGGATCGAGGAGAACGGCTACTGCTCTGCCACCGGTGATGGGCAAAGGGCGACCTACAAGACGGAGGCCGGCGAGGAGATTGAGGGCGCCTACCACAACGTCAACGGCGAGATCTACAAGTTCGATGCCCACAATAGGCACTACGTCGAGGATTGGGAGGGCGAGCGTTTCTCTATCTCAGCATACACGCCCCGCGGGGGCGAGAACCTCAATCAGATCCAGCTCGATACCCTCAGGGCCCTCGGCTTCCCAATTGGCCGCAAGCGAAAAGGTGGAAGGGCCGATGAGGTTCTACCTAGTCGAGATGTACAACGACGTGATCTACGACCAAGAAAGGGTGTCCGGAAAGCCATTTGGAAGAATGCTCTGAAGGTCTACGCCATGTTCACCGTGATGCTGGCTACAGTGACAAGTGTGCTGTCCGAGTTCGATGTGGGCCCCAAGCATTGCAACTACAAGACCGCTATCCTTGAGATCGGCGGCGAGGACAACACCCTAGCAGCGGCAGAGCTTGGACAAAGCGTTGTCGAGCCCCTCAGCACGACCGAGTTCCTCGAGGACATTGGGCTACGGCAACTACGTGGCCTACTTGATGCGTTCTCCCCACGGGTCCTGTGGGTATGTGAAGAAAGTGGACAGGTACTACCACGCCACCCCGTCCTTGAGGCAGGCGCTGCGCAGTTGACGAGGAGCGGAACTTTCGTCCTTCAGCAGCCCCTGGACAATGCCACGTACTGGGCAGAGGCTTTCGAGGACCACTTTAGGCACTACGACCGGGAGACCCACGTCACCGACGACGACATCACCTACGTCATCCGCGTGGAACCACCAACGGAGGATCCCGGTGCGCAGACCTGTTTTGCCGTTGATCGAGAAAGAGATCGAGCTGAAGTACCAGGACCAAGAGGGGCAAGTGCAGTTTCGTTTCCAGACACGGTGCCTAAACATGTTCAGGCATCACTGACGCGCTTGCATCAGAACCTCGGTCATCCTAGTGTCGGTGACCTGGTCCGTCACCTGAAGTATGCTGGCGCAGAGGAATCCGTCGCCGCCAAAGCGCTCAAGCGCCAAGTCTGTGATCGCAACAAGAGGACACATGCCCCGCGCCCAGCAGCACTACCTTCACTACTAGACTTCAACTCCCTCGTCTCCGTTGATGTCTTTCATGTCTTTGATGCCAACCGCAAACGACACGCACTGCTATCGATCATTGACCACGCCACCACCTACCACATTGCTTACCGCCTTCACGGCCACTCGACCCAGGACTACGAGAATGCATTCGTCCACGGCTGGGGGAACACTTTTGGAGCACCAGTAACTTTGTCTGCCGATCTTGAGACCGGACTACAAGCGGGCCTGACCAGGTACGCCGAGTTCTGTGGAGTCCGCATGCGGCGCTCCGCTGGGCAAGCACACTGGCAGCAAGGATTGGTCGAAAGGCACCAGATGTGGTACGAGGATATCATCCGACGGGTCATCGATGAGCAGGCCGTGACGGAGGAGGACATTGACATGGCGATAGCCTGTGTGAATCAGGCGAAGAATCAACTACGGAGACGGCATGGATTTTCGCCATCTCAAGCGGTGTTCGGAAAAGATCCTTCTACGCCAGGCGACCTTCTCGCCGGGCAAGATGAGGAGCGCTTCCTGGAGATTATGACTGCCGATCGGAAGCGGCAAAAGGAGATCAATATCCGGAACGCGGCCAGAGTTGCTTTCTTCAGGTCACAAACGGATGCTCGACTTCGCCGAGCATTGATCCAACGGGCCAGGGTCAAACACACCGCCTATCACATCGGGGAAATGGTTTGCTTCTTCCGTATCGAAAAGAGTGCCACAAAACGCGGCGTTTGGCGGGGCCCTGGCGTGCTGGTTGGATGCGAAGGTCCTACGAACTGGTGGGTTTCGTATGGTGGCCGTTGTCATCTTGTTGCTGAAGAACATCTCCGGCCTTCTACCGCGGAGGAGTTGAATGAGCTACTGTCTACCAGAGTGGCGAAGGAAGACCTAGATCGGTTGCTCCGGAACAATCCTGACGATCCCGAAGTCTTTGAGCCAGAGGACGAGAACGAGAAGGACTTGGATCTGGAGGACTACGAGCCCTCTCTTGTTGACGATCAAGACTTCGAGTTCAAGTTCCCGGCCGGCGACACCGAGATGCTGGATTCGGACATCGACAAGGACTTGCTCCCTCCTGAGATCCAGGCTCCCAGCTCTTCGGGTGACTATGGTCCAGTGCCCCGAAGGATCACCGGGAAGCGCAGTGGCGGCCGAGGCGCCCCATACACTGCCCTGATGTTGAAACAGGCCGCTACGGAGAGATCGCGGGAGAAGCAACATGAGAAGGAGCTGCCGTGGCGACTTATTCCGCCGTCAGAACATGAGGGCTTCAAAAGTGCAGAGGACAAACAGATCCGGGAACACCTGGATAGCAAAGCCCTCACACCGTTGTCTGTGGAGGAGAGCGCGGAGATTGAGAAGACGGTCCACCCGTCTCGCATCCTGGGCTCTCGATGGGCCTACCGAGACAAGAACTACAGCAAGCGCCGTGTCGATGAGTCTGTTCCCTGGAAACACAAAAGCAGACTGGTGGTTTTTGGGCACCTCGATCCTGACGTGGGCAAAGTGCTTACAGATGCTCCCACCATAAACCGTTTGTCCATTCTGACTCTGCTCCAGTTCGTGGCTTCGAGACTGGACGACGACGAACCTTGGCGGGCCAGCGCAGGCGATGTTACTGCCGCGTTCTTGAATGGGGAGCAGATCAGCCGGCAGTTGTTCATGAGACAACCGCGGACCGGAGTCCGCGGCATGGCTCCAGGAGCCATCTTCCGCATCGAGAAGGGCATTTTTGGGCTTGTGGATTCTCCGAGGTCATGGTGGCTGGAGTTGAAGCAGATTCTCCTCGACCTCACCGTCGAGTACCAGGGGGTTGTGCACCACTTCAAGCAGAGCATCCTGGACCCGTGCGTGTTCATTCTCGTGCCCAGCTCCGACCAGGACGCGACGCCCAAGGCCTACCTGGGCGTCCATGTGGATGATCTTCTGTTGGTTGGCGGCAGCAAGTTGACCAAGGCGATTGAGAAGGCCCTGGACGCTGTGCTGCCAATCGACGAATGGGAAGACAACGAGTTCGACTACGTGGGTTCCCACGTGAAGGTCACCACCGAGGGCGTCTACGTGGACCAGGCGGCGTACACGAACAGTCGGCTCTTCCAGATCGACATCCAGAAGGGCCAACTGGACACGGACCAGGCGACGGCCGAGCAGGCCATCGACAACAGGAGTTTGGTTGGTGCTTTGAGCTGGCTGGCTTCTCAGACACGGCCAGACTTGCAGGTGTCCGTTTCCTTCGCACAACAGCTCCAGAAGGACCCCAGTGTGGCGGATGTTAAATTTACGAATGCTACTGCTAGAAGAGCAATGGAATTCCAGCAACATGGCGTTTGGCTCCGCAAACTGGACCTGGACTCCCTTGAGATCCTGATCTTCCACGATGCCGCTTGGGCTAATGCCCTGCCACGGGACACGGAAGAAGACGATCCTGACTTTGTGCTCAGCCAGGAGGACCATGAGAAAGGGTTCATGTCGGGCACCCCGTTCGACAACAAGGACCGGAAGCCAAAGAAGGCCAATTCAAGAGTGGCCAGCCAGTACGGCCTTTTGGTGGCCCTCGGAGATCGCCGCTGCTACACGGCAGAGGGCGGACCTATCAGTCTTGTGGACTGGAAGTCGTCTGCGATTCAGAGGGTGTGTCGCTCAACCTTCACTGCAGAGACGATGGCTTGCACTGAAGGGGTGGAGAATGGCCAATATATTCGGTCATACATCCACTCACTGCTTAGCGGTAGGCTACAGAAGGTCGAAGACCTCGCGGGAAAGAATGTGCGATACTACTCCGATTGCAAATCCTTGTATGATCATTTACACAAGGAGGGAGCGACGAGAGTCTCCAGCGATAAACGGCTGGCCATAGACTTGGCTGCCCTGCGACAGTCACTCAGCGCCGAGCGCCGGGAGGGACGATATCCTCTCCACTGGCTTCCCACCTTTAAGCAACTTGCCGATGTGTTGACTAAGCCAATGTCCCCTGAGTCTTGGTGGAAAGCCGTGGAGAATGCTGTTGCAATGACTCTCCTAACCCCTGTACAATAGAGGAGAGAAGTTGCGGAAGCAGTGTCGATCCCTGTTTTCCCTTTTCTGTTTGACCTGCAAGGCGACCGACCGCAGGCACACGAGTCAAGCCCGTATGGGAAAAGGCGTGGAGGCCCGAAGCTCTGTGGGTTTCGGGGTCTGGTAGTGGGGTCTGGTTTCGGTCGGTGGGTTGGTTGTGTCTCTTAGTGTTTAACATTTAAGGCTTATAGGGTGCATACCGGCTTGGGGTTGAGAGGGTTTTGGGGGTATAGCATAGGGCCCCAAAAAAGCACATAAGCAAAAATTAGGATAGGGATATCCCATATAAACCCCCTTATAAAGAAGCCCAATATGATAGGGATATCCCCATAAAAGGCTTATGCTTATGTGCCTCTTGGATCCCTAAGCAAAGTATGATTGTATAGGGGCTAGACGGGGGGATACTATAGGGGGCCAGACGGGGATGTTATTGGTACGCCCTCTGACCCGTATATTATATTACCCTAAACCCCTCGGCAAACCCTAAACACCAAACCGTAGCATTAGAGGGTTAAGGCTCGAAGAGCTCGTATGTTGAGGCTTTGCGCCTTAAAACCATGCACACAAATGCTTTTCTACTACTATCGGGGCCTGCAAAATTAGAAGGGAGTTTTGGGGTATATTATAGTAGAGTTTGTTGAGGAACCCGGAGGAACAATCCGGGTAATTCTTCAAGCTTGTATTTTATACCCCAGACCCGAAACCCTACTTGTGAACACAAGGAAGACCTCAGAACATCGTGAAGCCAAGACGACTCTGGCGAAACAAGCGCAGAAGCCCTTCTCCAGAAAGTGTGTGCACACACGCGGCCAAAGGTTCAGAACAGTCGTACTATAGGGGCCTGACGTTTGGTGAGTTTAGTTCCATATAGTTACATTAGGGATTACAAGAGCATGCTACTGCTAACTTCTCAGATCTGTGCAAATGAACGCTTCGGACTGAGGAATTGGACTGTGTTCTCTGTGAGACTGAGGCATTGCCCTTTGACGTCTCGATGCTTTAGAAGAGTTTTCTCAGCTGAATAATATACTTATGTAATACTGCGGCAGGACGAAGGTTTGACCTATTCCTTCCTTCGTCGAACACAGGCCCCCATTCCCCCATAGAATTCTATCAAACAGGACCAAGAACACAGGCCCCCGTAGAATCCTATCGAATCAAACAGGACCAACCGGCTACTCCTCCGGAATATAAAAGTGGAATAATTTCAAAACGGGGTATAAAACACTCCGCTGGCCAGGCCACATGAATCTCACTTTGCGGTATTCCGCTACTCCGCAGAACATATTAAGACAAAAAAGCTTCTGTAGGTCAAAACTGTTGTCCTCCCGATGTATGCAGGGGTTAAGCCCTTAACCCCAACCCAAACTCCCAAAATCCTGCGGTTCCCAAACATATCCACTGTGGATCTACATGAAACCCTGTAATCAAAAAACAAAGCCTACACAACCCTATACGATGTTAAGGGCTCGCAAGAACCGCAAGGGCTCTGAGGCACTTGCATAAATCCTAAACTCAAACCCCTACTTGGAGGGTCGAGGGACTTAGTAAGTAGTTATTATATAGAATTATGAGTACCTTAATAGGGACCCTACTTGGGGTTACGGTACTTATAACTCTATAAAATAACTACTTACTAAGTCCCCTGACGCTCCAAGTAGACCCTAAAACTGTATACAAGCTTTCAACCCCTGCTTTAAGCTGAAACCTTTCGTTTGCAGATCTAGACTCACAAGCCTCTCGAAATTCAGAATAGGGTTTAGGGTTTAGGGTTTAGGGTTTAGGGTTTAGGGTTTAAAAGGCCCTGCGTTTTTTTGACACTGAGACCTTTGGCAATTGAACCAGGTGTCGAGTTCAACAGTCCCAAAATTACCTATTATTAGGGCTCGATACTAAACAACAAAGGAAACTAAACAATATCCCAAACCGATACCTCGCACCATTTAAACGAGACCCATCACACCCCGAGTGGGGCCCAAATCGATACCTAGTAAACCTTTGGCTTCCTAACCCCCTACACCCTATGGTAAAAGCCAGAAAGTTGGAACGTAGAGCATTAATCATCCTAAATCCATGTGCCAACTTCCTGGGATGCACCATAAACCCCCAGACCCTGAAACCCTAGACCCCTATATACACCCTAAACAAATCCCCCAAACTAAACCCTAAACGCCCTAAACCCCTAAACGCCACCTTCGCATTCGGATAGCAAATCAGAAGATATCAGAATTCTCTCTGAATTCATATTATTATTATTCCATTCTGAAAAAATGCCCGCGATTCTCCAATTAGGGTTTAGGGTTTACGGTTGCTGACGCCTTTGGCTTTCGGATAGAGAATCAGAAGGTATCAGAAGCCTCTCTAAATTCATTAGTATAATTCCCTTAAGGGTCCATGTACCCATATACAGATACATGAGCCCCAAAGTACCCAAATAGGGACGACATTAAGGCTAATGTATACACTATATGAGTACATGGACCCTTAGGGATTGTGGTACTAGGATACCCAGTAACCTAAGAATAAAAAGGCCTCTCTTTTTGGTATTGGGTAACTTTATAAGGAACCTAGGACTACAAAAAGGGAATAAGGGTACTACTGGGCATCCTAGTAATTGGTAAGGCTGAAACCTTTGGCCATTCGGATTTCGGCTCAATGGCCAGATCTTGGCGCCTCCCATCAGCCAGTTCTGGCCTAGCGCTCGGGTGCGAGTCTTTGTTGGTGAGGGGAAAAATAGTGGTGGTAACTAGTGGTTTAGGGTTCAGGGTTCGGGGGTTAGGGTTTAGAGATGTTTAGAGTTTAGGGAAAGGGGTTTAGGATTTAGGGTTTACAGTTTAGGGACCAGGGTGGACGGTTAGGGTTTAGGGTACATGTAAGAGCGTAGGGTGTAGTAGCTCGGGCTATGGGTTGAAATTTCAAGGGTTAGGAACTAATGTGTACCTGATTAAGAAACCTTGGCCCTTTTTTAGGGCTCCTTATATGAATCCTGCCATTTTGGGGTTCTAGGCCCAGGGTTTCTTAGTCAGCCTACATTAGGCTTTAGAGTGTACCCTAGAGCCCCAAACTGGCAGTGTCCTTCAGGGTTCATGTAGGAGTTAGGATGCTGGGCTGCAGTGTTGGCTTTTAAGTGTTTGGGAACTTGTACTCAGAATTTGGAAGACTTCAAGTAATAGTCAGTGCCTTTGGGTTTTAAGGAATCTACAGAAGTCTTGCCTTGGGGGGGGTCTTTAGGGCAGCTTAGGGTCCTTAGGGTTTTATCGAAGGCGGAGTGTCGAGGAGTAAGGCTCTGGCTGGAAGGAGGGGCGTTACTTGGAGGATCGTGGGACGTAGTAACTGGGGGTATTGCTAGGGTAACTACACTTATAAGTACTTATAACCCCAATTCTGGTACGTACTTATAACCATACTTACTAAGTCCCATGATCCTTGAAGTAGGGTCGTTCTCGGTCGTTCGGGGTTTAGGTTCTTTTTTTTGGGGGGGGCTCCTTTCTCCAACTGCAGGCCTCCACAGGTAGAAGGCCATTCGGCCAGGAGATGCAGGCCACGGGGTTCCGTTAAACCCTAAACCCCTAACCACTGGGTTGGGTTGAGAATGCACTACATGTTGATGGTCTCTTGGGGGAGGTCTTCGGTTGGTGGTCAATCCTAAAATCCTAAACAAACACAGTAGAGAGGTCTCCGAGCAACTTATGCATAACACCGCAGCCCCGAATCCTATCTTCCAAATGATTCTGAACCCAAATGTAGACACCTGACACATAAACCCCTTCTGAAGACATACATATATATATATATATATATATATATACATATCTACATATATATATATATATATATGTGTGTGTGTCTGTATATACATGTGTATGGAACATAAATCTGAATATGTGTGTATATATACATATGTATGTATGTACATATGTATGTATGTATGTACGTATGTTTGTATGTATGTATGTATGTATGTATGTATAGACATATACAGATACACGTTTGACTTTGAAAGCGCTGCCTGGTAGCCGGAAGGCTTATACTGTTCGAGAAAGGCTTACGCCCGGCTTAGCAGCGCGTCGTTTGACGCTCCCGAAACCAGAAGCAAAGTGTCGCGGACGTACATGTAACAATTACGATCACACAGATCTGTCACTGCATTGGTCACACGTACAGCTTCTACCCCATCATCAGTGACGTGGACTGGCTGTCCATCTGCACTGGAGAAAAGAGTCAGGTAGCGTCCCCTTCCGATCGAACCCTAAACCCTAAACCCCTAAACCCCTAAACCCTAAACTAAACCCTAACCCCCCCCTCCAGATGCATGCAGATGGCCTGCAGCCGATATGGACTGGCATAGGTTTCGAGCTGGGTCGAGTTTGGGAATGTCGGCATAGAGATGCGATGCTGACACTCAACACTGTCTTGGCGTTGTCCTACATACATACATGCATACAAGCACATACACATGCACATACACATGCACATGCACATACACATAAACATAGACATAGACAGACGTAGACATAGCAACAGACATAGAGACAGACATATACCTGTATACATATATACAACTATATGAACACATATGTTGTACACATACGTACACGCAGGTAGTGTCTGGGTGCCCACCGAGGAACCCTAATGCCTAAACCCACACCCTAAACCGTTATCTCCAAAAGTCCAACCAAATCCTACACCCCAATCCTTCCAGGGTTTAGGGTGAGGGGTTTAGCGCTGTTAAACATGACCTAAACCCTAATCTTTCTAGAGTTTAGGGATTTGAGGCCTTTTAAACATGACCTAAACCCTAACTCCCCAGCCTCTGACCCCCGGGAAGATCTAGAAAGTAGAACCCCTAATTTGGGGCCCTATTATACTACTAAGGGTACTTCACAGGAACACCCGTTGAGGGGTCTACTTTTTGGATCCTCCCCTAAGCCCTAAACCCCAAGCCCTAAAACCCTATAGATCCCTTAAAGGAACCCCCATGA